AAATAGTTTTGACCCTACATACCCCCTGAAAGGGTCTTTGGGATCCCCAGGGGTCCCTAGACTTTGTTTTGAGAACCACTACTCTTGAGATACAAATACAAAAGCAAGACGGTCCCTGCTCTCCAAAAGCTTATATTCCAAATGGGAGAGATAACACATAGCAGAGAATGATGGCCAGGGAGGGTGGTTTTGGTCCAACCAACAACTATAGAGTTCGCTTAATTCTCAGAGCAATAGGTGGAAAGTTTATGGGAGAGGAGAGTACTTGGACAGTGGCAGAGCAGAAGATGGGCAGGGTACAGAAGCTGGCCCCTCAGTAGGAGCTCAGAGACTTAGCCCTCTTGGACATAGGCTCTAGAGGTCTGGTGTGGATGGAGGGAGAGAAGATGCAGGAGATAGTGGGAATTGTGGCACAAATAAAGGGAACGGACGTTGATTAAGTGCCTGCTATGTGCCCGGCGCTGTTCTGTGCTCAGTGTTTGCAAATGTTATCTCATTTGGTCCAGGCACCAGCCGTAGGAAGTGGGTGCTCTTATTTCCATTTAATAGTTGAGGAAGTTGAGGCAGACAGAGGGAAAGTAACTTGCCCAGAGTCACGGGGCAGTAACTGTTCTTCTTCTGCTTCTCAGCATTCTGTCTACTATGCCTGCGCAAGATTTAGGAGAAAAAAATTGCATGAAACAATTTTATTCTTAAATATATTAAAGCTTAGATAAGTCCCTATTAAAATCTTATTCTTACAGCAACTTGTGTGTAGAAGTGACCCTGGGTTCTCCTAGGCTCTGCCCATGGAGCAGAAGGAAACGCCAGTGGCCATGGGCCCCAGAATAGATCTTTGAGAAGCTCAGCAAAGCTCCTCTGCTGCTAAGTAGACACTCTTATAAAATACAAGCAGTGCAATGGAAAAAGCCAAGCCTTGGAATGTTAAAGGGAACATCCTCTTGAGAAATCCTCACCAGGAAACTTTGGAAGAAAATGAATGGAGCCCGTCTAAACACATGGAGTCATCACGAGGTCTGCTGAAAAGGGGGTCAGACTTCTGGCAGCAAGATCTTTTTTTTAAGAAGGCGAACATGGTTCCAGTAAAGAAACAAATGATGGGAATTCAGATTGAGACTGTACAGCGGAACAGCAATTTAAAAGTCTGTGCGTTCTACCTGCCAAGCAGCGAGGGGAGCCCCCTGCCTCTCATGGCGGCTTACTCTCCTTTGGAAGCCCTCATTGTTATAGATGAGCCTGATCATTATACATCAAGCCTCACTTTGCCTATCTGCAGTTAACACCCATTGCTTCCAGGTCTTCCTCCAGGACCAAGCAATTGACAACTCCTCCAACGCTTGGAAACAGCTCTCTTGTTTATGGCTTCTCTTTGTGCCGGCATACCCATCCCAGGTCATTCAGCTGATGGTCATAGGGTACACGCTGAATGCCGTTCATCACCTGCTTGGCCTCCCTTGAAAACTCTCCAGCCTTTTTAAATATGTGGAAGAAAGGACAGAAGGAAACAAACATTTCTTGAGTATCATTTATGTAGCAGGCATAGTGGGGAGGAGAATTAGTGAGGGAATAAGCATTTATTTAGCACCTACTATGTACCAGATACTAAGTGCTTTATAAAATGTCTCTTTTGATCTTCTCAACAACCTAGGTGGTTAGATGCTAGTATTGTCCCTACTGTACAGTTGAGGAAACTGAGGCAGACAGGTTAAGTGACTTGCCCAGGAACTGAGGCTATATTCGAGCTCTTGTCTTCCTGACTTCAAGCCCAGCACTCTATCCACTATGCCACCTACCTGCCTAGATGGCCCAAAAGTAGGGAACTGGGGAAGGGTATAATAGAAATATTACCCTTCCTATATATTCTTTCCCAGCTGTTAACTTATTGAGTTTGCCATCCACCAGCACTGTCAGGTTTAGAGTTGAGTTTATCTCCCCCCTCCCCCAAACTGTTAGCTGATCGGATACTTCTCCCATCTGGTTTATGTGAAGTCAACTTTTTGGTCTTAAATGTAAGACTTTTCATCATCTTGTCTGATCCAACTCGTGATTTTTTTGGATATCAGTCTTTGACTTTCTGTATGTTACCTTTCCATCCCAGCTTTGTGCCATCTGCGAAGCTGAAAAATGTGCTTTTATCCAGGTAATTGAGAAAAATGCTGAAGAGCACAATGCCAGACAGAGAACCCACAGGGCACAGGGTCCTACCTTTAGGGAACATATACTCTGGTGGGGAGAAAAGACATAAACACTTGAAAAATCAAGTCAGAATTCAGTTGCTATATGAGACGGTACAGGAGACCAGACATGGCATCCCAAAGCTGTATTTGCTGTAGGTGGAGCTGAGAAGCAGTCCAGCCATTCTGGAAATCATTGACAAGGCCTGTCCCTTTGGAGCTGACCAGTCACCTACTCCCTCCCTAGCCAGTAGAGCCCCTGTGTTGCTTTCTGTTTCACAAAAATTGCATGAGGTATTTCAGTAAATGCTTTGTTAGGGGGCAGCTAGGTGGCACAGTGGATAGAGCACCGACCCTGGAGTCAGGAGGACCTGAGTTCAAATCCAGCCTCAGACATTTGACACTTACTAGCTGTGTGACCTCGGGCAAATCACTTAACCCCATTGCCTAGCAAACCCCCCCCAAATTCTTTGTTAAAATCCAGGTAAACTAGAGTATATCTACAATGTTTCCCTAATCTGCCAGTGTACTAACCAAAAGTCAAAAAGGAAATAAAATTAGTTTTCTTGATGAAGCTGTTTTGGCTCAATATTATGAGATATTTACACACCCTGTAGCCTGTCCCTTTAATGGTATTTGCTCTTATTTTGTCTGGAATTGATGTCAAGCTCAGTGGACTGTAATTTGTAGGCTCCATTCTTTTCCTGTTATTATAAATGGAAGCTTTTGCCCATTTGCAGGTCTTTGGTATGACTCTTGTTCTTGAGGTGGATGATGAGAGGAGGCCAGTGTCACTGTTTGACAGAGGCCAGGTAAGATTTGAGAAGACTGCTTAATAAGGCCTCTGAATGGGACACAGAGGACTTTATCTTTGATCCTAAAGACAATCAGGAGCCATCAGAATTTATGACTATGGAGGTGACATGGTCAGACCGGTGCTTGAAGATCTCTGACAACTGAACAGAGGCTGGAGTGGAGCGGGGAGACCAGCCAGCGGCCTGTTGCATTAGTCAAGATGTGAGGTGACGAGGGCCTGCACCAGAGAGCAGTGTCAGAATAGAGAACGGGCCCTGGCAAGAGGTTATATATATGGGGGGTGGAGGGGAGACGAGGGCAGCTGAGAGAAAGTGAGTTAAGGTTGAGAACTAGGTGGGAATGATTTCCCAGCATATTTCTGCCCTGCTTGGAAAACCGAAATATCTGTCCTAGGTGTCATGGGATGCAACATCATGAAGTCATGGAAGTCCATATCATGATATTTATTTCCCTGGTATTATGGCATCAAACTCCTTCATTCACAGATAGAAGACTTTAGTTCGATTAATTTGATTTAAATAAAACTTATCTTGTGCAAACTTGGAGAATCATTTTAGAGAGAATCTATCAGTACACAATAAAAGTTAGAAAAATAGGCACACCCTTTGACTCAATAATTCCACTGCTGATAATATACACTGAAAGTGTTACAAAACAGAAAGAGACATATGTGTTCAAAGATTTCATAGCAGCATTGCTATGTTTCCAAAAACATGGGCCAGAATAATGGCCATATGGTGATAGATGAGGATAAATAGTAGAAACTCCCCAGGACTGCTTTCTTATAGCTGTATGGAGGCTCAGGGAAGAGCTTGTTAACTTGGGCAGTAAGTGTCTATTAAATAACCAGTGTGTGCTAGGCCCTTCAGAGGCTATGGAAGCAGTAAGACTTGGCCCTTAGCCTCAAGGAACTTGGGTATGGTTGGAAAAATGAAACTAAAGCACATGAAACAGTTGTAAAATCTTCATGGGATGATATTTTCAAAAATAGGTGACTGACTATATGGAGTTAGAAAAGAGAGCACTCAGTCTTGGCTAAAGTAAACAGGAAAGGATTCTGAGAAAAGATGCCACTTTAACTGGGCCTTGATAGATGGGTTAGGTTTAGATAGATGGAAAGGAATAAAGAAAGCATTTGATATCTAGGGAACAGCCTAAACAGGTAGGATTGAGCAATGGCATATTTGGGGGATAATGAGAAGTGCCATGCTGCCGAGGAGTAACAGCTAGGAGGTTCTTAGATAAATGGTGGGCTTCAAAAGTAAAACTGGTTCAATGTGATCAATGAGAAGAGAAACAGGAGCCAGTAATACTCGAAGAGGTAGCAAAAATCAGGAACTTAAAATTTCCTGTTCGTATTTCTAGGTAAGAGGCAATTTTTGGTCTAGTGGATTTTGGACGGGCCAGCCTCAGAGTCAGGAGCACCTGTATTTAGGGCCTGCTGCCGATACTCTAGGTCAGTCACTTAATTTCTCCACATCCCAAGCAACTTTCTGAAACAGGACGTTAGAGAGTGGTTGCTAACTTGCCGTTTGGTAGAGGGAGTTTGCCCACAGAGAAGTTGCCTGCACAGTTCAATCACTGCTTCAGACCTCCCAAAATCATAGAGCTCATCATCTCTTTTGAGAGGTGACTTCTTTGTGGGACCTTCATCATTTCAGTCAAAAGATTTTTGTTGAGCATCTCTTGAAATACATTACAATCCCCATGATAAGAGAGACTGTGAGGTATTCAGTGTTTGTGGAACAGGCCTTGTCTCCTTTGTTAACTTAGTGTACTTTGTTGGATTTTGAGTGTCAGTTTTTTTAAAGTACATTTCAGCAACTAGATGAGCATCGTTATTTGTGGGCTTACAGATTATTCTGCAAGTTGAGGGAAAAGGTTTTATTTTTAAATGTATTTTGACCATAAATTTCAGTGATAATTATTCTGTTGGTTTTTAAGTAGCCTGTTTTATAATTCTTAAAAACCAGAATCTTCTAAGATATAGTTTCTCTTTTGTTTCTCTAGGGCCTATTCCCTGGTGGATTCCAGTCAAGTGTCAACGTTTCTGATTTCCATTCTCCTCATCGTCTATGGCAGCTTCAGGTAATGAGCTTTCTAAATTTTTTTCTGCTTTTAGTTTTTTGAAGAATAGATATTTTCCATGGAAGCGTGGGGACCAAGCCAGTGTTACATCTTCTAAGTAGAAGGTGGTTCTTAAAGGCCTCATCTGACACTCAGGACAGTGTCACGAGGCTCTGAGCCCAGGCCTGGGCTGTTTAGTTGCAAAGTGCTGCACACCACATTGCTCCCTTCCCTTCCCCACCTTGGGCTTTTTTCTGTTACCCCTCTGTTCCTGCTGTATCCAGGCCACTTGTGGCCCTTTTCTGGGCTCACTAGGAAGCAGTAATTTTGCTAGTGAGGGGGCCCTTTCCTGTTGTCCATGGACTTCAGGCTGACTTTCTCTGATTGTAGGATGAGAGAAGTAACTTTTAGAGTTTCTCACTGAATTTCTTGATCAGTGTTTGATCTGTTATAAACTTCAGGGTTTTGCTAGAGTAGGTATGTGGGAGCTGGGACAGCATATCTGCTGTTTAACCATCTTGACCCAGAAGTCCTAGTATGTGGTAGAAATACCTAGTAGAAATCCAAATATGTCAGCGCATTGGTCCATAGGTGCAAATCTCACAGGGACCAGCAGTTAAATTAGTGTGTGTATAGCTTTCAAACTGTGTACTTCTTCCATATATGCCAACCCATTTCTGCCTTTGGCCACCATCATTGTGAAAGCAGAATGGAGCTGCAAGGAACTGTTTTATATATTTTCTTTGTTTCATTGGTTGCCATGGCCAAGGACTTCATCCTCCAGTGGCTCTCCTGTTGTGGGTGAGTCTCTCTATGCAAAGCTGGTCTGCTTGTGGAACTCGTCTGCCCCCTAGCCGTGTTTGAGGCCTGGTGTGGTCTGCTAGTGTGGTGCTTTGCAGGCTAAGCCTTCCGGAGCTTGGTCACTTCATGCTATGATGAGGCATCAGAGAAAAGTTTTATGGAAGAGAAATCTATATAGAAGACCATAGGATAAAACCATAGAATTCATTAGTTCATTCGGAAGCAGGATAGCCACATGTTCTCTAAAGGAGGGGAGGGGAGGGGAGATTAGCCAAAAAATAAAGAACAATATTTTTTTTATCATGACCATTGAAATGGCCATGTAGCTATTTCTGTGTTACTTGTTTTTTCATTATTAATGGGAGGGGGGTGTTAACTGAAGGTTATAGGGTGTTCATTTTTTCCTCCAGACCAAAGCAGCTACTTGTTCATTATTAGTCTCAGTATAGATTTTATCCTCAGTAGCCACTAACCCACAAGGAGGGAGGGCGGTGGAGCAGGAAACCAAGCATCACCTAAGAAAATTAAATTAGCAGGTGGTTAGTTGTTCTAAGACAGGAGTACAAAAGACAGTGTTCACCTGCTTTTATGACTAAAGGGAAGGTAAAGCCACGTTCAGTGAATAAAATAGAAGTATCTCTATTACAGAGAAGTCTCCTGGTCCAATGGCAAGAGCTCTGAACTTGGAATCCGGAGAGATGAGACTCATATTAGGACATTAGGAACTTCTCTGAGCCTAGGTTTTTTCATCATTGAACTAACAAGAAGAATTATAGCATTGACCTCATTGGGCTTTTAAGATAATTATGCAAAGTGCTTCATAAAATTGAAGTGTTAATAAATGTCAACTGTTGTTGTTAGTTTTTCTTTAATGAATTGCTAAGAAAGATAGGAATAGTAGGAAGATAGAGTGGCAAGTTAAGTAGTGAGAGATTAGCTTGGGAGAAAGAGACTTTGATCCTGTGTTTGTAACTAAATCCTAGTGAAAATAACTGTCATTTTGAAAAAGCAACAGGCGACACAAAACCTAGACACCAATGGAGTGATACTGCTTGGCACTCGTTGGACTGACCAGTTAAAGTTAAAAGGAGAGCTGGGTTCAACCTGGGCCCTGGAGATTTCTGCCTGTAGAGAGAGAGCCTGAACTCTCTGAGCTGATTTAGTTGTTTCCCACTGACCAGTTAAGTAAGAGATTGACAATAGGAGAGAACAATAAAAGAGACAGGACATTAGCTTACAAAGGAATTTGTGCTCGATTGTCATCCGCCATGGTGCCTGTATCCCCAGATCAGGCCCAGGCCTCTGGAGTCTGGAAGGCCGGCCTCTGACTCTCGAGCCTAAGCAGGTAACAGAGCCTCTAAGTGCCCGAAGGAACTCCCCGGAGGCTGTCAGTTGCTTCCTCCTGATGAAATCGTAGGTCTGGTTTTTTTGTTTGTTTTTTGAAGAATTCTGTAGACCAGTCTTGTGAGTTTTGAGGAAAGCAAAACCACTCTGCATTGGTGTAGCTTTTGGGAGATTGGGTTTTTAAGAAGAAGGGTAACTGAACCTGATCCATTCCTGAAAAAATGCAGTTACAGAATTTGCGAGTTTGAAGGAATTTCAGGGGCCTCTGAGTCAAACACAGACACCCGGGAATCCCCTATGACATACCCCACGAGTGGTCATCCAGCGTCTTCTTAAAGACAGACCTTCAAAGAGGGGAAACCCATCGCCTCTCAAGGCAGCTGTACTTGTTAGGAAACTTTTCCTAACATCAAGCAAACGTTTTCCTCTTTTCAGCTCTCCCTCCATCCCCCCCACTCTCCTCTGCTCCTGGTTCTTCCCTGATGAGGGCAGAGTGCAGTGGTGCTGTCACCTCCCCTTCTGCTCCTCTGAGGGGAGCCTAACTTCACATTCATCTTCGACTTGGGGTCTACTAAAGGCCCCAGATCTTTTTCAGAACAACTGCTATATCAACATACATGCCTCTTCCTTAGACTTGGGAAGCGGATTTTTTCGGTACCCAAGTAGAAGGCTTTGCATTGATCCTGAGAGTTGGATACTCTGGCCTGCAGAGGTCCTTTTGGATTCCGACTTTTGTCATCTACAGATAGGATGGGCACACCTTTGAGGGCTCTGTCCGCTCACTAGCCCTTGGTCAAGCACAGATTTAAGAACAGATGCTGCTTTTCAGGAGAAGTGTAACAGGTAGTGAGCGTGGAGGAGGAAGGGAGAGGGGAAGCTCTCTTATCAGCGAGATCTGGATTCACAGTGTGTGTGCCCATGGCCGAAGTGGTGATAAGGCTGCAGTGTCAGGCAGTGCTGTATCTGTTTCTTGAAGGACATAGTTTAGGGTCTCTCCTAGTGGTACGTGTTAAGGGATGGCAGAGCAGAAAGACAAATAGGCTCGGCCTTCCAGGGTTTTACTACAATTTTTATTTAGAGAAACAGATTCCCAAGAAACTAAATTCTTTTGGGTAATCAGTTTTATATATTAGGCCAGAGGTTGGCAAAGCAACTTGCCAGTCAGTTGCTTGAAAGCTAAGAATGATTTTTACATTTTTAAATAAAGTTTTATTGTACTTTACAGTGTAAAAACCCTTCTTACCTCAAGGATCTGCAGAAACAGGCTTGCTGACCCTTATATTAGGCTATAAGACCCAGAACTTTCTTTTTCTGAGACCAAGTCTCTATATTGTTTGGAAGTACAGTGGCCAGTCATGGGCTGGATGCGACTGCTGGGCAGCACAGAGGCTTTAACCTGCTCTATTTTTCTGACTTGGGCCAGTTGACCTTTCCTCACTCCCTAGGGAGCCTGCTGGCCCTTCACTCCAGGAAGCTTGCCCATGTTGGTGCCGGGCTTACTGGGACATTAGGTCTGAAGTCCTGAATTCCAGGGGTCTAATACCTTCTCCTGCCAGAACAGACCTGCAGTGGCCTGTCCCACTGTGCCAGAGCAGACAGAACTTTAAAGAAAAGGACTCTGTGGGTAACACAGTTTATTCTTTTAATTCTATATAGAATATAGCCACTTAAAAATTCATTTCAGACTTTTATTGGAAGATGGGGTATACTTTCTGGATTGAATAAATTTGAACACTTCTTTTCATGTAACTCTCATTTGAGTCCATAAAATTACTATCCAGTTCTTTGGAATTTTGTTATAATTCTGCTTGTTTTATAATTATACTAAAAGGTTTTACCCCTTTGCTATAAAAACAGTGGTGAGTTTGAGAGTTTAAAGAGGAGACTTAATTGAGATAAAAATTCTTACAGGTTTTTTACTCCATTTTTAAGGGAATGCCTGTCTCATTGGGGAAGATTATTAAGTTCTCTTGCTGTGCTAAAATTAAATACATTTATAATTATACATGAACTGGTTTTGAAGAAGGAAGAAGGCTGTAACTTCTCCTGTCACCTGGTTAGTAGAGCTAACTGCATTTTTTAGAAAGAAGGATTTCAGTAAGTCAGTAAGGAGAAATTTTACATGAGTTTTTCTTGCTCAGTCTCCGTGTCCTGCTTTGAAATTATACCCTGAATGCCCTCTAACCATTTTCTGAGCATGCTAATAGTGATGTGACAGTTCATATCCTTATTCCTTTTTTTCCAGTTAATAGTATTTTATTTTTTCCAGTTACATGTAAAAATAGTTGTCAGCATTCACTTTTATAAGATTTTGAGTTAAAAAAATTTTTTCTCCCTCCCTTTCTCCTTTCCCTCCTCCCCAAGACAGCAGGCAGTCTGACATAGGTTGTACATTTACAATCTATTAAACGTATTTCCACATTTGGCATGTTGTGAAAGAAGAATCAGAACAAAAGGGGGAAACCACAAGAAAGGAAAGAGAGAGAGAGAAAATAGCATGCTTCGATCTGCATTCAAATTCCATAGTTCTTTTTTTGTTAATATCTTTATTCCTAAAGATTCCTTGTAGGTGGAAAAGGAGAGAGCATCTCTCTCCAGGTTCTGAGCAACTACAGTATATATGAAATCAGAAAAGGAAGTCCGGTATTCTCAAACGAAATCACATTTATAACAGCACAGTGCCGTGCCCAGAGGAGGAATTTAGCAATTGTTTGTCCTTCACCCCCCTTCCCTGGCACAGTGTTCTTGTGGCATGATTTGGTTTGCAGCTTGATGTTTATAGAGAAGTAAGAAATACCTCTTGTAGGGAAAAAGTCCCTTAGAACTAAAAAAAAAAACCTTAGAAGAAAGATGTGCTCCATATATAATCTTATATC